AAAGGAAAAGCGAGCAAAGCTTAAGCGTAAGATGGAGGATGAGAAGAAACAAATGGATGAAAATATTCATTCAAATGATAAGCAGAATGTGGAGAGTATGTCACCTGCAGAGCTTTGGGCAGGCTTAGCACAGTATGGCATTAAAACTCGCGTAAAAAATGTAAAACGGCTGCAAGAAATGTTTCGGTCCTGTTTGCACTAAAAATACACTGTCATGAAGGCAGGTACATTGGTCAAGCATTGTTGCACATATTTTGTCTTCTCTGTTTTTTGTAAATAAACATTATCTCAACAGGACAGGTTAATATGGAGATACTGATTTATTCTATATATTTAAATTATGTGTGTTACAGCAACGTCGTAAAATGTCAATACAAAGTTTCTCAATAGGCATTTGAGGTGCGTCAGTCAATTTACCATCTTTAAAGATTTGGTGCTTAGGAGTCCAACTAAGCACTGGTTTAATTTTAAGCTGTTGTATTCCTCGCCCCTCTCCATGGCCATATTTATCTAAGGTGTACCACCAATGCTCTGGTAGCCTCAAACGTGCCAAATCTTTGACTGAGTACAGCGAAAATCCTTTGTGGTTTGATTCCCTGCCTTTCCCATTGATAATGTAACGCCAAAGGTCCAAGTCCATTGGAATATAGGTAGGTGCCACAGATTTTGATCGAAGGCTCGTCGTAATGGCCTGGTAAAACTGCCGACATGCCGTTTCCAATCGTTCCGGATGTGGTGTTGGTGGTATTTCATAACCTCTAGAAATTAAAGCAATTGTTATTATTTTATTGAGTTTTAAAAAAACATTAGAATGGCTACAAGTTGAAGTTTATTCAAAACAGTAAATTAAAACAAACAAACTAAATTGAGGGCCCCCTATACTTTTTGCGTGAAGCGTGAAGGGCTTATTTTACTTAGCCGTGAAACGTGATCGGGCCCCCTATACTTTTTGCGTGAAGCGTGAAGGGCTTACTTTACTTAGCCGTGAAACGTGATCGATGATTTTCTTAATCCGTGACTCGTGAAAAGGCAAAATATTTTTACGTGAAATCATATTGTGAAGAGGTATAGGGGGCCCTCTAAATTTGTTGACTACATGCCACTGGCACAACCTTGCTCAGCTGTAATTTTTACCTCAATAACTCTTCATCAAGATGGCTTGAAGGTTCCCATGAACAGGCTGTAAGCGGCCAGCCATCCCATTTTATTAAATACTCGTATTCCTAATTTGAAAATAACAGCTTAGTGTTGGAGTATTTTAATATAGAGGAGTAGACACATGGGGTGCTTGTTTGGGTAGATTCTTTACAAAAATTCTTGCTCGATGAAGATAATCTAACAAGAACATCGACATTACGAGCTAAGAACCTTCGTCTGCATTATAGTATTAATATGAAGTGAAAAGACAACATGACTGAAAATAAAAATATTAACTTTATACTTACGCCTTTGATCTTTCGCTTAGAAATTATTCTTTCCACGCTGTATTTCCTCGGAAGAACCTTTCTCTTTTTCCGCGGTGTGTCGTACAATACCACTGAGGACAAAGAATCCAATTGTTGATAATCGAGCACATTTCTTTTTCTCGCCGCCATATTGAATTTACAGGTTTGCAACAGGCTCGCAGGCTAAAATCAGGGGAGCAACCGCTGTACAACATGTCTGGCACATGACCGACATAGTTGGCGATGATTTGGCCGTTTGAGTCTTCTACAAATTGCATGTGCTTATGTTGTCATGTAGTTGAGTTTCTGTCAGTTGTTGTATTTGTTCTTGTGAGTGTTTGTCATATCGTGTTTAGACTTTTAATGGTAGATTTTGTAGAATACTCAATAAAATCAATAAAATAAAATAAAATAAAATATCCGCCACATTAAAACGTCATTGTTGACACAGAAACGTTGCGTTACTTTTGTGCGAAAATTCAAACTCTTTAGATGTTGTTTTACATAAGTATAAGATGCTCTATGTTTTTTCAACAAGCAGTGCTTGTCCAAAAATACGGATCTAAATCTAACTGTTTCATTTTTAGAGAGACTGTATTGAGCCACCTTAACTGATTTATTGAAATTTGGAGCGTCATTGCATGAGCAGTTAAATATTACTGTTTCTGTTTGAATGTACAACATAATAACTCGAGAGTTTTTCGCGATCTCTCTTTCGCGCAAGAGTTACGACAGTGGTTGCAAGTGCATGAGCAACAGACACCAATGGGGTGTTATAAATGGGCATTATTGGGCAGTATATGTAGGTTTCGCTAAGCACTGTCGTGCAGCAGACGCACGGTGGTCAATCAGCAGTTATCAGGGTTGGGAAATAATGTTAATTCAATTGAATACGATTGAGTAATATTAATGTTAACCCTTCTGAAGGTAAACACCATCTGCTGCCCCATTGCATTAACTGAAATCCAGCAATGTACATTGACCACATTGGTGTGTTATTGTTTCTAAATCAAACCATTGCCACAAAATTGGCAAAATATTGAAGTTCGAGTTTCAAGGGTGCATGCCAATTAACATATTCTGATCTGCTTGTCCCTGGAATATTGCAGTTGAAATAAAGCCTATCAAGAGTTTTCATAGTTGTAGACTTTTTTAGTTCCAAAGAACGGCTCTTCATTTGGCAGCCTATTATGGACATGTTGAGGCCGTGAACTGTTTGTTGGAACGTAATGCACAAGTGGATGCCAGGGATAAGGTGAGGATAGATATGTCTGCAGGGTTTTTTTCAGAGAT